CGAGTCTAGGTAGGGTTAAGAGCAGATACAAACTTTTCATGTGATGGCAGTGACTTAATGCACTGCGCTACTCGTATGTATATGACAATATGAATGTGAATTCATTGTGAAGTCATCTTATTTATTTAAGTGCTGTATTTATCGAAAGCCACAAAGACTAAACTATGGCATAGCACTCAGTATAAATGGCTTCTGCATCGCTTTCAACCATCGAACCAAACACTGATTGAAACACTGAAACACCGTGGCATTAAACCGGGCATAAAGCCGGGGCACGCCCCGGCAAAAAATGGCGACCGTAAACTACTTGCTGGTCATTGGTTTAGAAACCTTCCTGTAGCCGCTGCTTATGCTAAAGGTCGTTTTCAAACCGGGGCCCGGCACAGAAGCTTTTGGTAACAAAAAAGTACAAAATAAAAGGAAGGAAAACACAAACATTTTTAATTAGAAATTAATCATGACCACTATCAACTTGTGTATTATTCTTGATATGAATTGTTAATTTTTTAATGATGCCAACAGCCCGGCCAGGCCCCGGTTTGGAACTGTAACCTCAGAATTAGACACAAACATACGCCAGCATGTAAGCTACCTCCTCGCCTATAACATCGTTAGGTGGATGAATATTGTCCTCGTGAAACTGACAGTCGGTCATTTCCCATGCATCCACAAACACAACAGACAACCCGGAAAATATCTCCTTCATGACTAGGTACATCTGGAACAGCGACCAGTCGTCCGTATAGTAGAAGCTCCTTGATGATGACGTGTTCGGTGTTTTCATTACGATAATTGTCTCCGGTTGTCGACTCAACAGACGTAAGATGGCGTCCCGAACGGCTCGGGCACGGCGGATAAAAACATCCAGGGGATGATTGCTGAAATGCATTCCAAGAGTTATCACAACCACTCTGTTGGGTCCTCCGGCGATGTTGTCAATAACTCGAACTAAACTACTCATCACGCTGGCATTCGACCAAACTAAGGTTTTTACGGGAGGGCCGTGGGACTGGTACCGGGAACTTATGTTCCATGTCGGCTCCATGAAACGCTCCGGACCGACGGTATCTGATGTAAAATAAGGATCCGGAATTCTATCCATGTCTAATAGCTTGGCCAAAAATTCAATCCACTGCCGGAGGGTTGAGTCGCCGAGGAAATCTATAGTTTTGTTTTGTAGGCATTTTTTATACTCCAATGGGGCTAACTTGGTTGTAGCACAGATGCGTGATACCCATCGGCCATTGCGGTAATACCCAGAGGGAACCGGGGCAGGGAGACCTGGCACGCAGCTCGGTAATTCTTCCTCCCTAGAAGCTCCAGGGAAATTCGCCGTCACCTTAACCGTGGTGTTTTTGCCTTGGATCGTGGCTTTAATGGCCTCGAGGCCATTCCCTGTTCTGAAAATAACACATTAAGAGGGTGATTGCCTTGCATTCATGGTTTTCTAATGCTATGCTCTGTATCGTGAAATACTTGTGGTTTTCGGGGTGAGCTCGCACGGAATATTTATTAATGCTTCTGTAAAGTAGCACGTCTGTAGAACGCACTGCGCATGCGCGAACCCCGGACTTTCCACCATTCCCGTCAAATGTTTGGTCAATGATGCATCACAATTCCATCCGTTGCAGATACTATGTTTTAAGCCAGGCACAGCATTTAAACATTAGATACGAGATATTAAATACGCGAAGACAAAGTTAACAGAGATGTTGAGCAGAGGTGCTATGGACAATTTATTACGGCTTTATTACGGCTTTTGCGCAGGTGCAGTGCGTTTTTCGACGTGGAGTTTAAATAGCATTTACGACTAAAAGTAAGGTAATGAACTTTTCTATACGAGAGATATTGCAAACGCCTTACTTTGTTACACGTAACTTGAAATGCCCCATCTCTTCTTCAGTCAGTCCTAGGTTATCAAGTGTAAGAGCACCATTGTGACGATGGAACACGGACTGCTCACATGTCACGTCTCTGGGTTTTTGGCAGAACCACTGCACCCCTGCATAACTTTAGATAAACGGGAGTTTGTGTTGATTGCGATTGTATAACCCCCTTGAACCATTGGTTTTCAAGATAATAAGATGCATACAAAAAAACGTGACTGTGCAAGGTCCTGAAAAAGTGAAAATACTATAATATATATTATATATATATATATATATATATATATATATAACAAGAGTTCTTCGATCTCATACCTTCGACACATGACGTTAACCCTGCCGTTGGACCAATGTATAATGTATGGCAAAGTACAAACAACAACAACGAAAAAAAAAACAATAAAATAAATGTGTTCAATTAGACCTAATGTAGAATTTGGTATTTTTTCTGCCTTATAAGATGCCTTTAACAAAGAGGGCTATTTTAGCACTTCCTTAGAAATTATGCAAACGAGATGATAATTTGAAGAATTTATATTAATTTGAATATACAAATTAGGTCTTTATTTACATAATCTATACATTCGGATGTATTTCTTGTTCTCAATTACATGTCCAAGTGTTTTATATTCCTAAAAAGATAAGTAGAGTTTAATAATAGATTATGCATAATTGTCATGTAATCATGTCAAGCATCACTTCAGCTTCCTACATACAAAAAATCACGACACTTCGCCAACCGGTTCTTTAGTTATCGTCCTGAGAAGCTTAAAAACAACGCTGCTGAAGTTCCAGAATAACCTGCTAGGGATTCAAACTCATGTCACTTTTTACCTAGAACCAGAGTTATGTACCATTTAAAATTTGTTACCTAGCATGTCGAGATCATATAATAATAAAAACGGAAGTTCTGCTGCAGTACCAAAACAGCCGACAGGGGCCCAAAATCTAATAGTTTCTAGGTATAATCAAGACTTACACACCTGAAAAATTCATGTCAATGGATAAAAAGCTTCCTGAGTTATGATGTTCACAAACAAACGCTACTAAAACATAACGTTCTTATAGGCCAAATAATGTATGAAGGTAAAGTGGTAAAATTTCCCCTCTGGCTAGCAGTTTCTTAACTGTATGTGCATTGTTTTGCGTGCCTTCGCAGATGGAAACTTTTGTTTGCACTAAATATGAATTTTTTTGTCTACTAGTTTTTCGTCCTTTAATTAAACGCATTCGTAGTTCCAATGTATAAGAAGAATGGCGTTAGAACAAGATTGTGACACACTTAGCACCTTAAGTTGAACAATGTTAACCCCCTAGGTAATTTAAAGACTTTGTTCATTTTATTATTATAATTACCTAAACTATTCTCACCTTACCACAAACAATTCACCAGTTTCACATCCCCAGAATACATTGGGAAAACCGGGGTCTTAACTTCATTCACATAGGACAGGAAGGCATCGGAATGATCCTGATGACGATAAACAGCTTGTTTTTTTAGTGTGTTTTGAGGTGTTGGGGGCATTCTATGTTCAACGTTCATGAAATTACTATCGGTTGAATCTGGCAAGATATAGAGATTGCATTTTTTGGAATATGTGGTTTTTAACGTTATAGTGGTAATGCTATACTGATGCTGTAACGTTACAAACCACAAATTCCATGTCGTAAAGAACACAGAAACGTCATTCTCCATTTGTTGTCAGATTCGACCCATAGTAATTTAATCAATGCTGATCATAAAATCCCAACACCAGAAAACACAGTGAAAAACAAGCTGTTTAGCGTCACCAGGATCATTCTGATGCCTTCCTGCCCTATGCAAATGAGGTTTAGATCCTTGTTTTTGCATTGCATTCTGGGGAAGAGAAACTGGTGAATGTTGCTTCTGATAAACATCTTGTGACTCGTACACTGTTTTCTTTACTCTCCTGTCCAGAAACGATAGTTTTTGATTGATATTTCGACTTCTTCTTCTTCTTTTATATGGGTGATTAATTTTTCTAAAATGGTTATCACATTGTGATATTTGACATTAGATTTCTTGTCTTTAGAAGATGCCCTCTCTAACATTTACTTCCTGCAACCTTACCTATCAGAGAAATCACAGATGCCATCATCCAGAGGATCCTTGAGGTCATTTAGATTCAAACTACACCAACTAACCGATGATTTATTTCCATAGATATACTTCCGCTGGTACCTATAAATAAAAAAAGAGAGCATTTTAGTAACGCTTTGAAGATAAAAATGGACGTATTTTTTTATTATTATCATATTGCCAGGCGACGTAGACGATGAAGAGCACCTATTTCCTATCAGGATTCAGGCTATAACATCATAAGTGGTGGATGATGTAAAAAGTGGTCGCCCATTAATATAACCGGCCACCTTTAAACCCGCGCTATTATTCGTGAAAAAGGACACTGAAGGCAGGGTTAAGACTTGAAGTGTTTATCTTTTGAAAATAACGTATGGTAATTTTTGTAAAAAAAAAGTATGTAAAAACACAACACTATTACAATTTATATAAAGTAAAATTTAAAGAAAAAATACACCCCTCTAAAGACTATCGTTTTTTCTGTCCACGCCATCTTGTTTTACGTAACAAGTAGAATGTAAGAGTTTGAACTGTAGTCGTAATATATCAAAATGTATCAATATTAAATCTTAAGATTAGGCGCCCATTAATAATAGAATTTGTAACAGACTGTGTCATTTTGATAAGCTATGTGATAATAACATTAATGGTCCGACTTGTTGTCAGGGGCAACACATCTCTTAATAGACCTCAATATTCTGTCAAAGACCTTTTTTGTTAAAGTCTGGCTATTTTCCTCTAAGTTGTAAAAAAAACATTTTATTCAGCCCCCCCCCCAAAAAAAAAAATATAAAAGACGTCATAATGACGTCGTAATTACACTAAAGTCGTCATTTTATGACTAACTTTTAGTACCAATCTCTGAAATTGGTGGCCCTGGGGTAAGTGGTGGCGGGTATCAAG